TTCATCAAATGTAAATGATTCGTCATTTACCTCATTTTCGTTTCCAAGTGCCATTAAGCATAGGTTAGCAACCTCATTTTTGCAAACTTCAGTTTCTGTGTCGCTTTCATCACTATCTTCTCCCCATGCTGCAACCATAGCTTTCTTCTTGTCCTTCTTGAACTTTTTCTTAAGTTCTGGACATTCTGATTTGTAGTGTTCAGGTTTGTTGCATTCGTAGCAGGTTTCTTCAGATTTTTTGTGATTTTCTCCTCTTTGAAAATCCATGTTGTTAAAATCTTTTCTAAAAAAATTTTGTATGCCTTGTTTCTTTCTCACAAACCTTTGGAACTTTCTAGTGATGAATTCCATTTCCTCATCCTCATCCGAATCATCTTCCTTATCCTCTTGATGTTTCGAGGTGGATTTGAAGGCTATTCATTTCTTCTTCTTATTGTCCTCATCTTCCTTTCCTTCTTGCATTACGAGCTCATGAGTTAAGAGAGATCCCATTAACTCATCTAGACTTAGCTTTGATAAATCCTTGGCTTCGGTAATGGCAATGACTTTTGTCTCCCAACTTTTTGGCAATGACCTAAGCACTTTTCTTACAATTTCAGCATTAGTATATATTTTGCCAAGAGAAGTTAAACCATTAATAATATCAGTAAAACGAGTAAACATTTGAGGAATAGTTTCATCAGGTTTCATTTTAAAGAGTTCATAATTATGGACTAGAAAACTGACTTTGGATTCTTTAATTTGTTCGGTTCTCTCATGAGTCACTATAAGCTTGTCCCAAATTTCTTTTGTGGTTTTACATGTGGAAATTCTGTTGAACTCGTTGGCATCTAAGGCGTAGTACAACATGTTTGTAGCTTTGACATTAATTTGAGCCATTCTAGTATCTGATTCATCCCACTCATCTTCAGGTTTTGGTACCCTAAGTCCATCTACAGTTTTGGTAGGAATTTTTGGACCATTGCAAATAATTTTCCAACATTCATAATCATTAGATTGAATATGTATGGTTATCCTAGTTTTCCAATAGCTAAAATTTGTGCCGCTAAATAGAGGTGGCCTATTAGATGCTTGTCCCTCGGGTAAGGAATAACTAGGGGTTGCCATGACCTACTCTAAGACGGTTAAGTCACAGAAACTAGAGTCTAGGCTCTGATACCGATTGTTGTCCCAGATAGGCAACCCAAGAGGGGGGTGAATTGGGTTATTAAAAATTTCACAATATTAAAATTAACACAATATTCAAAATTTTAATAAATAAAAAAAAACAAAATAATAATTATCAATATAAAAGTAAGAGAGATAGAGAGAGAAAATCAAACACTGCGATTTATAATGGTTCGGCACGCCAGGCCTACGTCCACTCCCCAAGGAACCTCCTTGAGAATTTCTTTACTATCAATTGAATAAATACACCACCAAGCTTGTGGATTTGGTACAGGATTTACTCTTATCTATTGAGCCTCACTCAACAATAAAAGCATTACCCTTACAAAATCTTTCACAAAAATAAGGAATAAGAATAAGTGGTACTTAAACCCTCTTTTACAATAAATCTCTCACAAAGAGTAGATATGAAAGTGTAAGAACAAAGGCTAGACTAAGATCTGAAAGTGAAAGAGCAGAATACAATTTGGAGCTCACAGAAAATTTTCTCTTCAAGTTCTTGATTTTTCTCCACACACAACACTTCTATTTATACACAAAAATATACCCGTTGGACACTCCTTGCTGACGTCATGGCTTACATAAGCACGCTCCTGACGTCATCGCTTACATAAGCACGCTCCTGACGTCATCGCTTACATAAGCACGCTCCTGACGTCATCGCTTACATAAGCACGCTCCTCTAGATTGGTGAGGGATTTTGGTGGATGATGGTAGTGATGAAAGTGATAGATGATTTTGTGGATGGTGGATGGTGGAGCTGGTTTGTAGGCTATGGTGAAGGTGGAGATGGAGTCGGCTGAGGGTATGAGGAAGAAGGGAAGAGCGAGAGAGCAAGAGAAAGAGAAAAAGAAAGAGAGTAAAGGAGAGAGCAGGTGAGAGAGAGAAAATATATGTATATAATTTTAAATTATATTTATGATGGATCTGAAAATATATGCCCTCTTTAAAATATTGTATATGTTGTAGAGATTTTAAACTAAATATATTCTACCACTCCATATTAATTTTGTCAAAACAAGACAACTTATCAATATCAAATTTGTCAAAATAATACAACTAATCCATCATTTTTGTCAAAATAATATAATTAATCAATTTTTAATTTGGTCAAAAAGTGAATAGTGATTAGTCTCAATATTCAAAAAGTGAATAGTAAAATTCTCAAAAATATTTTTATTTAACTAATATTTAACAAATATATATATTTTAAAAAGATAATATTTTGTGTCAAATAAATATGTACATTAAAAAAACTCAAATTGTTACAAATAATATTTTAGACATCATCAAAAGTAAATAATACAAATAATATTTTAGACATCATCAAAATTAAATAATATGATTAACAGTACTGGTTGTGTGATTTTCACACTCAACAAACGCTCGAGCGCAACTCTTGCCGCTTGAGCGGTCTACAAAAACATGGAATTTCTGAGAGATTGCATTGCACGCTCGAGCAAACTTTTGGTCGCTCGAGCGGAGATGTAAAAACAAATTTAGGTGGTCACTCGAGCGTAGGATCTGACGCTCGAGTGAAGAGGTCGAATTCTAGAATTTCCAAATTCACCTCCAAGCTCCCAATTTCAACTTTAAAGCTACAAACTCATCCATTTGGGCCAAACACTTGAGAAAATACATTTGAACTCGGAAATCATAAAAAATTAAGGATCATTTCGCAACATCAAGGCCCAAGAGTAAGTAAATTGACCAAAATTCAACTTGAAACTTCAAGAACATGACTTGCATGTAATAATATGAGCTTCAACTTTTCAAAACATGGTTAATAGAGATTTTGCTACAAAAACAAGTTGAATTCTTAAACTAAAATCAAAATATGAACATGCATAGAACACATTCTTAGACATCATGCCTAATTGCAATGCAATGTACATGCATGTATGTATACTCTTCTTGCCTACTCCAATTAGCTTAATTCTTGCCTTAATTCACTTAATTATTTTAAATATATGTGTTAAGTTCCTCAATAACACAATTAAAGGCTTGATTTCGTACCTTAAACTTTGAATTCACAAGAGTAAAGGATTAAGCTTCAGAATTCTCTTCAATTCCCAACAATCCTAGTAATTCTCCTATTTCCCTTGTTGATCTCACTTGTTCTCTTAGTCTCTCTCTTTCTCTCACACGTTTGGAGTTCAAGGAGGATGAAATAAGGGTGTAACAATTGGCTTCAAGGAGGCATATTAGCCTTATATAGGCTTATTTAGTGGCTTAATTAAATTATTGATTAAGCTAATCAATTGGACATTAATTATTCTAATTTAATCGTTTCAAATCGAATTTCAATTAAACCTACCATAAAATTTCAAAAATTCTAATTAACACATAAATCAAGTCAATTTCTGAATTGAATGCCGATAAGGCTGTCACGACTCACTCCCCGTACCCAAGGGTTAAGTATCGTAATGACTAATAACTGAAGTTACCTCCGGCTAATTCTTGAACAAATAAATAAACGCGAGCGGAAATAATATTTAAGTAAGGGTACCCAAATAATCATTGGAGCTTCTATTTAATTAAATTGTCAGAGTTGAACTATGTCTACAAAGTGCTTTGTGCATACCCCACGCGTTGGCCCTGACATGTCACCTGAAAGTGGTAAACAATTATAAGCACATGGTAGAGTGAGAAATATTATACTAAGAGCATAAGGGGCATAAAATTCACCATGGATAATTATTGGCTAAACAAAGCTTGATATTAAAATACAGAATATATAATACAGAGATCATTTGACATATAATACATAAATCATATAAACAAAATAATTAGAACAACGGTACAAAATGGAACAGAACAAATGTACGGACTCTAGAGGTGGCTCCTACAATAGTGTAGCACTTAGTTCCGTACAGCACTTTGCTCCACACCAGAAATCAGAGTGTCAGTGGATCCATGACAGGCAGAGGGCACTACAACCAAAAAAGGCCTTTGGTGACAGACTGTTTTTGTCTCCAAACATCAAATTTTTGTCGCTAAAGTGATCTGTGACGAAAAATTTTTGTCACCACGTTTGTCGCCTATACGTTGTCGCTGAAAGTACCTGGTGACGAAAAACAGTTTCGTCGCCTATTTTTCATTTTTGGCAACGAAATTTTTTGTCTCCAAATGTTGCATTTTTCGTCTTGTATAACATCAATTTTGTCACTAAAATTAGCTAATACTTTATTTTAATTGTTTTTGGCGACGAAATATTTCGTCACCAAATAGATTTTAGTGACGAAAGGTTTCCGCACCAATGATATAGATTAAGGTGACAAAAAAATTTGTCAACTAAAATTAGCACGAAAAGAAAATTTTTCAATGACAAAAAATATTTTGTCACCAAATATTCAATTAGCGATGAAATATTGACAAATATGACAAATTATTTGTTTTGTACTATATCATTAGTGACAAAATTATTCGTCATGTTTTTTAAAAACTAATAGGACATTTTTTTATCGTCGCTAATAATAATTAAAATTTTTTAAAAATGGGGGCACTATTTTCAAATTAAATTTTTCTTTTCACTAAAAATTTCCTGGCATTTCAATAACCTGTTTAATTAAAATATCTATTACAAATCATACAAAAATCTATTCATTTTTATAAACATCACAATCGAATTTCAGCACTATCCACAAAAAATACAATATCAACTGCATGGCGATTACCAAAATGTCTCCAATATTCTACAAAAAACATGTCTACTAATATCAAACAAAATATAATTCAAGTGCGGATTACCAAACATGTCCTGTAATACCAACAAAAAATATAAAATTTACAACGCAACCAAAATACATGTAAGGTAATATGAACAAAAATACAAAATGAGCTAGTTTCTGCTCTCCAAATTACCAAACATGGTCTATATCAAATCTCGAATCTGCAAAAAAAAAAAATGCAAGTTAGCAATTATTATTTTATCAATTAAATATAACAATTTAACATGCATTTTTCGACTTAATTTTCAAATTGGTGATTCTCGTGCTAGTTCCATAAGTTTTCACAACTTACATGGTCCCTCCTGAGGTGTTTGAGGTGTTCCCCAGGCCTTCCCGTGCTGTTAAAATTTTGCCCCCGATGCCTATTTACAACTTAAGTGTTGGAAAATTTCATTTTGGACTTTGCTTTTCAATGGGAGTCCCGTGCTAGTTCCGTAAGTTTACACAAGTTACAATGTGCTTTCTAAGGTATGAGGTGTTCCTGGAGCCCTCTCGTGGTTGTTTAATGATTTTGGGCCGATGCCTATTTACAAGCTTAAATGTTGGGAAAAATTCATTTTTGGACTTAGTTTTCAAACCAGAATCCCGTGTTCGTAAGTTTACACAAGTTACAATGGTTTCTTCCGAGGTGATTGAGGTGTTCCCAGGCCTTCTAGTGGTTGTTTACGATTTTGGCCCTATGCCTATTACAAGCTTAAGTGTTGGGAAAAACCATTTGGACATAGTTTTTCAAACCGGTGTCCCGTGCTATTCGTAAGTTTACACAAGTTACAATGGTTGCTTCGAGGTGATAGGTGTTCCCGGCCTTCTGGGTCGATTTGCCGATGGCCATTTCGTAGTGTTAGGAAAATTCATTTTTGGACTTAGTTTTCAAACCGGGAGTCTCGTGCTAGTTCGTAAATTTTACACAAGTTACAATGGTTGCTTTTGAGGTATTGAGGTGTCCCTGGCTTCTCGTGGTTGTTTAACGATTTTGGCTCCGATGGCCTATTTACAAGCTTAAGTGTTAGGAAATTCATTTTGGACTTAGTATTCAAACGGGAGTCCCGTACTAGTTCCGTAAATTTACACAATTACAATGGCCTTTCGAGGTGATTGAGGTGTTCCCTGCCTTCTCGTGGTTTTTAACATTGGCCCCCGATGGCCTATTTCAAGCTTAAGTGTGAAAAATGACATTTTTGGACTTAGTTTTCAAACAAGAAGTCCCGTGCTAGTTCGTAAGTTTTCACAACTTACATTGGTCCTTCTGAGGTGTTTGAGGTGTTTCCGGGCCTCTCGTGGCTGTTACACATTTTGGCCTCCGATGCCATTTTCAACTTAAGTGTGAAAAAGTGCATTTGGACTTAGTTTTCAAATCGAGAGTCCCGTGTTTACTTCCGTCAGTTTCCAAACTTACATGGTCCCCCCGATGTGTTTTGAGGTGTTTCCCGGCCTCTTGTGGCTGTTACACGATTTGGCTCTCCGATGCCTATTTTCAAGCTTAGTGTGGAAAAGTGCATTTTTTGGACTTAGTTTTCAAACCGGGAGTTCCGTGCTAGTTTTGTAAGTTTCCACAACTTACATTGGTCCCTCCTGAGGTGTTTGAGGTGTTCCCCAGGCCTTCCCGTGCCTGTTACACAATTTTGGCCCCCGATGGCCTATTTACAAACTTAAGTGTTGGGAAAATTCATTTTTGGACTTCGTTTTCTTATTGGGAGTCCTGTGCTAGTTCCGTAAGTTTACACAAGTTACAATGGTTGCTTCTAAGGTAATTGAGGTGTTCCTGGAGCCTTCTCGTGGTTGTTTAATGATTTTGGGCCCGATAGCCTATTTACAAGCTTAAGTGTTAGGAAAATTCATTTTTGGACTTAGTATTCAAACCGGGAGTCCCGTACTAGTTCCGTAAATTTACACAAGTTACAATGGCTGCTTCCGAGGTGATTGAGGTGTTCCCTGGGCCTTCTCGTGGTTGTTTAACAATTTTGGCCCCCGATGGCCTATTTTCAAGCTTAAGTGTGAAAAAATACATTTTTGGACTTAGTTTTCAAACAAGAAGTCCCGTGCAAGTTTCGTAAGTTTTCACAACTTACATTGGTCCCTTCTGAGGTGTTTGAGGTGTTCCCCGGGCCGTCTCGTGGCTGTTACACGATTTTGGCCTCCGATGACCTATTTTCAAGCTTAAGTGTGAAAAAGTGCATTTTTGGACTTAGTTTTCAAATCGAGAGTCCCGTGTTACTTCCGTCAGTTTCCATAACTTACATTGGTCCCTCCCGATGTGTTTGAGGTGTTTCCCGGGCCATCTTGTGGCTGTTACACGATTTTGGCCTCCGATGGCCTATTTTCAAGCTTAAGTGTGGAAAAGTGCATTTTTGGACTTAGTTTTCAAACTAAGAGTCCCGTGCTACTTCCGTAAGTTTTCACAAATTACATTGGTCCCTCCCGAGGTATTTAAGGTGTTTCCTGGGCCGTCTCGTGGCTGTTACACGATTTTGGCCTCTGATGGCCTATTTTCAAGCTTAAGTGTGGAAAAGTGCATTTTTGGACTTAGTTTTTAAACTGGGAGTCCTGTGCTACTTTCTTAAGTTTCCACAAGTTACAGTGGTCCCTCCCGAGGTGTTTGAGGTGTTTCTCGGGCCATCTCATGACTGTTATACGATTTTGCCCTCCGATGGCCTATTCTCAAGCTTAAGTGTGGAAAAATGTATTTTTGGACTTAGTTTTCAAACCGGGAGTTCCGTGCTAGTTCCATAAATTTTCACAACTTACATTGGTCCCTCCCGAGGCATTTGAGGTGTTTCCTGGGACGTCTCCTGGCTGTTACACGATTTTGGCCTCCGATGACCTATTTTCAAGCTTAAGTTTGGAAAAGTGCATTTTTGGACTTAGTTTTCAAATCGGGAGTCTCGTACTAGTTCCGTAAGTTTTCACAAGTTACATTGGTCCCTCCCGAGGTGTTTGAGGTGTTCCCCGACCGTCTCGTGGCTGTTACACGATTTTAGCCTCCGATAGCCTATTTTCAAGCTTAAGTGTGGAAAAGTACATTTTTTGACTTAACTTTCACAACTTACATTGGTCCCTCCCGAGTTGTTTGAGGTGTTCCCCGGGCCATCTCATGGCTGTTACACGATTTTAGCCTCCGATGGTCTATTTTCAAGCTTAAGTGTGGAAAAATACATTTTTTGACTTAGTTTTCAAATCAGAAGTCCCGTGCTAATTCCTTAAGTTTCCACAACTTACATTGGTCCCTCCCGAGGTGTTTAAGGTGTTTCTCAGGCCGTTTCGTGGCTGTTACATGATTTTGGCCCCCGATGGCCTATTTTCAAGCTTAAGTGTGGAAAAGTGTATTTTTGGACTTAGTTTTCAAACCGGGAGTCCCGTGCTAGTTCCGTAAGTTTCCACAACTTACATTGGTCCCTCCTGAGGTGTTTGAGTTGTTTTCCAGGCCGTCTCATGGCTGTTACACGATTTTGGCCTTCGATGGCCTATTTTCAAGGTTAAGTGTTGGAAAAGTGCATTTTTGAACTTAGTCTTCAAACTGGGAGTCTCATGCTACTTTTGTAAGTTTCCACCACTTACATTGGTCCCTCCCGAGGTGTTTGAGGTATTTTCCGGGCCGTCTCGCAGCTGTTACACGATTTTGGCCTCTAATGGCCTATTTTCAAGCTTTAAGTGTGGAAAAGTGCATTTTTTGACTTAATTTTTAAACCGGGAGTCCCGTGCGACTTCCATAAGTTTCCACAACTTACATTGGTCCCTCCCGAGGTGTTTGAGGCGTTTCCTGAGCCGTCTCATCACTGTTACACGATTTTGGCCTCCGATAACCTATTCTCAAGCTTAAGTGTGGAAAAGTGCGTTTGGACTTAGTTTTCAAACCGGGAGTCCCGTGCTAGTTCCGTAAGTTTTCACAACTTACATTGGTCTCTCCCGAGGTGTTTGAGGTGTTTCCCGGGACATCTCGTGGCTATTACACAATTTTGGCCTCCGATGGCCTATTTTCAAGCTCAAGTGTGGAAAAGTGTATTTTTGGACTTAGTTTTCAAACTAAGAGTCTCGTGTTTGTTCTGTAAGTTTTCACAACTTACATTGGTCCCTCCCGAGATGTTTGAGGTGTTCCCCGGGCCGTATCGTGCCTGTTACATGATTTTGGTGTCCGATGGCCTATTTTCAAGCTTAAGTGTGGAAAAGTGCATTTTTGGACTTAGTTTTCAAACCGGGAGTCCCATGCTAGTTCCGTAAGTTTCCACAAGTTACATTGGTCCCTCTTGAGGTTTTTGAGGTGTTTCCTGGTCCGTCTCGTGGATGTTAACACGATTTTGGACTCCAATGGCCTATTTTCAAGCTTAAGTGTAGAAAAGTACATTTTTTAACTTAGTTTTCAAACCAGGAGTCTCGTGCTAGTTATGTAAGTTTTCACAACTTACATTAGTCACTCCCGAGGTGTTTGAGGTGTTCCCTGGGCCATCTCGTGGCTGTTACACGATTTTTTGCCCCAATGGCCTATTTTCAAGCTTAAGTGTTGGAAAAGTGCATTTTTGACTTAGTTTTCAAACCGGGAGCCCCGTGCTAGTTCCATAAGTTTTCACAACTTATATTGGTCCATCCTGAGATGTTTGACGTGTTCTCGGAGCCTTCTCGTGGCTGTTACACGATTTTGGCTCCCGATGGCCTATTTTCAAGCTTAAGTGTTGGAAAAGTGCATTTTTTGGCTTAGTTTTCAAACCAGGAGTCTTGTGCCAGTTCCGTAAATTTTCAAAATTTACATTGGTCCCTCCCGAGGTGTTGGAGTGTTTCCTGGGCCTTCTCGTGGCTGTTACACAATTTTGGCCCCCGATAGCCTATTTTTAAGCTTAAATGTTGGAAAAATGCATTTTTCGGTTCAGTTTTCAAACCAGGAGTCTCATGCTAGTTTCGTAAGTTTACACAAGTTACAATGGTCCCTTCCGAGGTGTGTTTGAGGTGTTCCCAGGGCCTTCTCGTGGCTGTTACACAATTTTGCCTTCCCATTGCCTATTTTAAAGCTTAAGTGTTAAAAAAATTCATTTTTCGACTTAGTTTCAAATCGGGAGTCCCGTGTTAGTTTCGAATGTCTCCAAAACTTACATTGGCCCCTCCCAAGGTGTTTGAGGTGTTCCCCGAGCCTTCCCCGAGGTGTTTGAGGTGATAAATATTGTTACCAATAAAAGAAAAATTCAGAATTTTTAAACCGACCTTTATATTTAATAAAAGAAGATGATAGAAAAATGTGAATAGTAACATGCTGAACCAAAATAACAATTGTAAATATGTGAACATCATGAACAGTAGTGTTTTCTACATTATATATACACAAGTTCAAACTGTAATTTAAGTTCAGTTTAGATAGAGAAATATAATCTGAAAACAAATATAAGCTATCATGTGCATAACTGTTGGTGAAAAGAAATATAATCAAAAATAAGATTCTCTTTGAAATGCTTCCCAAGAGTTGCTTCATGAATCACGGGCCCTCCATTGCAGTTTATAAGAATTTCTTTCTACATATGAAAATTGGATATTTTAACTAGGAGCCACTTGAATTTCTTTCTTTATTTACCATATGATACGTTGTTTTGTTTAGGATTGCATGAAGACTTATCTAGAATGGATAAAATAACCATTAATTTAAGGAGAAAATAAAAATTACACTAAAGAAAGTAGAGGTGTACCTTGGGTTGGGTGGAAGTTGAACAGCAATTGTTGAAATTAGGAGCTCTTTCAACAAGAGATACTTTAGCTTCTTCGATTTTCTTCAAATTGGGGCTCTTGAAGTCTGATGTTCAAAAGTGAAAATGTTTATGAGATGGGCTTTGGTCATTTGATGAATACACTTATGTTATAATAAAAATTTTCAAATATGTAATCTGCATATATAAATCAATTTCAAAATTTATGCTTCTAAACCGTAAAAGTCACGCAATGTATAAAATAATGAATTAAATGTTATGGGTTATTTAATCTAGAATCCTTACTTTGGAGATAGATTATAAGTTCTTGCTTTCACAAGCTCTCAAACCTCAGAGCATCCAAAAACCTGTACTTAGAGATTATACAATTGTAACCAATAAAAATTTGGTAATAGTTCTAACATTTTTCGAACAATGAATATGCATATATAAATCAATTTTAAATGTTGTGTTTCTCAACAGTAAGAATGCATGCAATGTATAAAAACCCATGAACATCCAAAAAGTTGTACTTGGGAACATTGAAGCCAATATGCAAATTCTTTAACCAAACCAGAGATAAAAAAACAAATGTTCTAAACTTACTAATTCAAAAAGTGAGCCAAAAGAAATGAAATTAGAAAGCGTCAACCAATATTGGTATAGAAAATTCCAATTTTCAACCATTCAAAAGTGGAAATTAGTAAAGCATTGATCTTGAGTATATAGTAGATGTACAAAAGATTTGGGAGGAAGATTATACATAAAGAAAAATGGCAAATTGTAAAATAGTTTAGGAACAAAAAGAAAAACAAAATTGAACTTGAAATTGGTATGATATTACTACTGATATTAGAAGTAATTTTTTTCCCTTCGAGAATCAACAACAAATTAACATCCCTTTGATTCGCAAGTTTTTGAAAGATTAAATAATGGCTCAGATGAGCATCGGTTAAAATAAGATGTTCATAGATTGTAGGTTATTATTCAAGAAAACTAACGATTAATTAGCTCTAAAATGTTCAGGGCCAACTTTATATTAGAAAAATAACTATCGAACACAGAATAATGGATGGTTAGTAAGGCTTCTCTTCATTTTCAGCAATACTACACCCCTCCTCCCCCCCTCCCCCCACACACACACACACAAAAAAAATGAGAAATTACCCTTAACCTATACTCAAAGGCCAACATTCATTCATGATGTGACGTATAACAAGAAGTTTAACTATATAGCCTGGTTTGAAATTCTAGGTAATTTCATGATATCAATTTTCAGGGTGCATAAAATTTTCACTTCAAATATATATATATATATACATAACTTATTTTTCTTAGATTTATAAATTGTAGATTGTCAGGTTGAAACAGAGAGTCCCTGATATACCTATCCAAAAATTATACTGCCTATTATCTAAACAGAGAGTACCTCTTAGTGATACTTGTGAAATCCTGCCTTCTGAAAGTAGCCTTAGATTTCCTTTGTTTAAGCTTGGTAAGGTTCATCATTTGTTACTAGAGCAAAAGTATAAATTTCTATTCCAGATTTTGTAGCCTAATGTTGGTGGCTGGTAGTTAGAATGCCTCTTTATTTATGGTTGAGACACCAACAGATTTTATATTTTCTATTTTCAAAGGCATATTAGCAAACAGGTGGTGTGCATAATTTACACATAAATTAAATTAAAGAAAGAGAACATGGAAATGAACAAATTGAATCAATATCATCAAAATCAAAATCAGTCATTCGTCAATGGCGGTGGGTGGGTCGATTTGGGGTTGGGTTTGTGTAAAGGAATGCGAATGGAAGAAAAAAACCCTAGAGACTGAAATTAGGGGAAGAGAGAGACAGAAAGAGGGTGAAATAGAGAGAACATACCTGGGGTAATGCTCCAACAGTGGATCAACAGTGGTGCTCATGTGTGATGGCAATGATGCTCTTGTACCCAATGACGATGCAAACAAAGCAAGAGAGATGGCATGGAAGGAGGAAGGCAGAGGTGTGTGTGTGTGTGTGTGTGTGTGTGTGTGTGTGTGTGTGTGTGAGAGAGAGAGAGAGAGAGAGAGAGAGAGAGAAAGAGAGAGAAGCCTGATATAAAATGGGAATATTAGATATAAAAATAAAATTTGAAAAATATATACAATCACACATTAATTAGAAGGTGTGATTAAAAAAAAAAAGAAGATATAATCACATTTAATCAAAAAGTGACATAAAAAATAAGTACTATCACACTCAATTAAATTAGGTGTGATTAAAATATTAATTTGATTTTTTTTAATCACACTTTCATTAAAAGTGTCACGTTTTAATTTCCTTAAGTGTGACCTGTAAGCATTTTTGTAGTAGTGATACCTGTGAAGATGCGGCGGTCGTGATCTGCGGGCGGTGGTGGTGGCGAGCGGCGTTGGTGGCGTGCACTGAGGTGAGGTGATGTAGGGTGAGGTTTGGTGGTCAAATCTGTGCGTGAGAAGAAGAACTGATATATCTAAGGCGCCAATATATTCATTTCCCTCTAAAACGTCAAATCTGTATATGAGAAGAAGAACCGATATATCTAAGGCGCCAATATATTCATTTCCCTCTAAAACCTTTAGCAATTAAACCATTTATTTGGTGACAAAATTATTTCCTTACCAAAAGATAAAATTATTGGCCACGAAAATAGTTTTCTCACTAAATGATATTAAAATATTATAAATTATTGGTGACGAAAATATATTCGTCATTAATAATTTTATAATTGATGACTAATTTTTTCCTCACCAAAAGTCTGAAAATTTTGGCACTATCTGAAAAATTAGCAGGAAAATCTTCGATGACAAAAAAAATATAAATAATGATGAAAAATAATTTTGTCACCTAATTTTTTTATTATGTATGTAGATTGATGACAAAATTTTATTTTTGTCTCTAAAAATGGTACATTTTGAGACGAAATATTATTTTCTTCACTAAAAGGTATGTCTTTCGTGACAAAATTTATTTTCGTCATTAGTTTTCGTCTCCAACGACACGTTTTGTTGTAGTAGGGTCACAAAGTGACTAATCAGAGGGCCAATGATTATTTAAGTCCCCCAAGACATGGGACTCCCGTGGTGATATTTACAGAAAATAATTACTTATAAAAACAGTGTCAAATAATTAAATAAGATTTAAACAACATATCCATGGGTTTCAATTTAAGCAAGTAGGGGTCAGGAAATAATCCACGTAATCGAAATATTAATATAATTTATAAAATACAAATTACGTAAAATAAATTATGGCAACTCAAAACAAACGTAAAACATATAATGGTAACTCAAGGTATAAAATAACTCACCTTAAAATTAATACTTCACTCTTTCTTTTCACTATTAAAAACATTCTTGACTTCCAATGTTTTCTTTTCCTTTCTTTTCTTCTCCTTTCTTAGCTCGAACACCTCTTCCCTATTTTTATAGGGAGGCAAAACCATGAGTCCCAAGCTTATGCAACCGTGAGTCATCACACCTATACACAGGTAGGCAAGCCAGATGTCTTTCTCCAAATTGAAGGTGACAATCTCCCTTTTATATTTACACTTTAACCCCTAAATTTCTTACTAATTACATTATTTTACAAAATTACACATAATAATACAAAATAAATCATGTATTTTCCCAACTATGATTAAATGATTTTAGTATAAATTTTAAAGAATAATTAAAAATTTTGGTTGTTACAAAGGCCTTCAATTCGCAAACCGAAATTAAAACATGAACAGATCTTTTTACGAGAAACAGATATAAACACAAATAAAGCAACATATGATGCAAAATTTCACTTTAATTACTCATTGGGCATAATTAAGCATGGATTAATGTTAATCATGGATCGGGGTTGTTACAGTCTTCCCTCCTTAAAGAGTTTGGTCCTCCAAACTCGAGTTACCTTTGTTTTGGAAGAATGTCGAGTCCCACGGAAACAAATCCAGATATCTCTTCATCATATCTTCTTTCGTTTCCCATGTAGCATAAATCCCTTTATGATTTTTCTAATCAACTTTCCCCAATGGAATTTCTTTATTCCTCAATCTTTTGATTCTACGATTCACAATCTGAATTGGTCTCTCCTTATAGGAATAGTCGTCTTTCAAAAGCACATGTGTTGGCTCAATAACATGTAACGGATCTCGTAAGTAATCCTGTAATATTGAGAAATGAAAGATGTCATGCATATGCTCCAAAACTGGTGGTAAGGTTACCCGATACGTCACCGGGTTAATTTTCTCAACAATTTCATACGGTCCAACATATCTCGGTGCCAACTTACCTTTCACCCCAAACCACGTTTGGCCCGTCATCGGAGCTACTTTGATAAATACGTGATCCCCGACTTCATATTCTCTATCTCCTTTTCAGACATTAGCATAACTCTTTTGGTGGCTTTGTGTAGTTTTCAATCTTTGTTGAATCAATTTCACATTTTCAGTCATTTCTTGTACCAGTTCCGGTCCCAACAAAGGTCTATCACCTGCCTTGGCCCAACATATCGGAGATCGGCATTTTCTACCATACAAAGTTGCGTAAGGAGCCATCCCAATGCTTAAATGATAGCTGTTGTTATACACAGATTCGGCCAGAGGAAGGTAAGTCTCCCAATTTCCTTGAAAGTCTAACATACACATTCGTAACATGTCTTCCAATGTTTGAATGGTCCATTCAGATTGGTCATCTGTTTGTGGATGATAAGCATTGCTTAATCTCAGCTCAGTCCCCAAAGCCTGTTGCAAACTGTGCCAAAATCTTGAAGTAAACTTGGGATCTCTGTCAAATACTATGGACACCGGAACTCCGTGCAATCTCATAATCTCATTAACATACAAGTTAGCCAACTTATCCGCATTATACAACGATTTAACAGGTAAGAAATATGCGGATTTAGTTAAACAATCAACAATTATCCAGATAAAATCCATACCTCGAGGAGAGTGAGGTAATCCCACAATGAAGTCCATAGTAATATGTTATCACTTCCATTCCGGTATTAGAAGCGGTTGTGGTAACCCAGCAGGTCATTGATGTTCGGCTTTAACTTGTTGGCAGTGTAGACATCTAGCCACAAAGTCTGCAATACACTTTTTCATTCCCGGCCACCAAAAATTCTATTTCAAGTCATGATACATCTTCGTATTTCCCGGATGCATAACAAATTTTGAATTGTGAACTTCAATCATGATGCGTTTCCTCAAGTCAAAATAGTCTGGCACACAAAGGCGATTCTGAAATTTCAACACATCATTGTCAAGCACAAATTCTGGTTTCAGTTTTGAATCAATCTCATCAACAATTTTCCTCAAAAACTTATCTTCACGCTGTTTCTCTTTAATCTCTTCAATGATTGCAGGCTGAGAAGAAATAGCGGCTAAGATCCCGCCATGTTCATGCATCACAATCTCAGTCTCATTCTTTTCCAAGTCACATAACAATTCCTTCTGGCCGGTGAGCAAACATGACAAATTCCCAATATCCTTCAAAGTCTGTATCGTTCTTTTTGATTGGCCATCTGTTTGTGGATGATAAGCATTGCTTAATCTCAGCTCAGTCCCCAAAGCCTGTTGCAAACTGTGCCAAAATCTTGAAGTAAACTTGGGATCTCTGTCAAATACTATGGACACCGGAACTCCGTGCAATCTCACAATCTCATTAACATACAAGTTAGCCAACTTATCCGCATTATACAACGATTTAACAGGTAAGAAATATGCGGATTTAGTTAAACAATCAACAATTATCCAGATAAAATCCATACCTCGAGGAGAGTGAGGTAATCCCACAATGAAGTCCATAGTAATATGTTCTCACTTCCATTCCGGTATTAGAAGCGGTTGTGGTAACCCAGCGGGTCATTGATGTTCGGCTTTAACTTGTTGGCAGTGTAGACATCTAGCCACAAAGCCTGCAATACACTTTTTCATTCCCGGCCACCAAAAATTCTATTTTAAGTCATGATACATCTTCGTATTTCCCGGATGCATAGCAAATTTCGAATTGTGAGCTTCAATCATGATGCGTTTGCTCAAGTCAAAATAATCCGACACACAAAGGCGACCTTGAAATTTCAACACATTATTCTTATGGACAAACCCGGGCCTTGGTTTTGAGTCAATTTCATCCATAATCTTTTTCAAGAATTCATCTTGTAGTTGTTTTTCCCTAATTTCTTCAATGATTGTAGGCTGAGTAGAGATAGCAACTAAGATTCCACCTTGTTTTCGCAATACAACTTCAATCTCATTATTTTCCAAGTCACATAGCAATTCTTTCTGACCGGTGAGCAAACATGACAAATTTCCCATTGATTTTTGGCTCAAGGTATCTGCCATAGTATTAGCTTTCCCGGGATGATACAAAATCTACAAATTATAGTCTTTGATCAACTCTAACCATCTCCTCTATCTCATGTTCAATTCTTTTTGGGTGAAAAAATATTTCAAGCTTTTATGGTGTCTCATCTTCAGTTCTTTTTGGGTAAAGAAATATTTTTAGTTTTTATGGTCAGTATACACATCACAAGTTACTCTGTATAGATAATGACGCCAAATTTTCAAAGCAAACACCACAGCTGCCAGTTCAAGAACATGAGTCAGGTAATTCTTTTCATGTGGTCGGAGTTGTTGAGAAACATAGGCGATCACCTTACCATTTTGCATTAATACACAACCCAAGTCTTTGTAGAATGCATCACTATAAATCTGAAACCCATCAGTACCATTAAGTAAAATCAAAATCGGTGCAGTCACTAATCTGGTTTTTAAGTCTTGAAAAGTTGATTCACGCTGATCATTCCAATCAAATGGTACATTTTTCTATGTTAGCTGTGTTAATGGCATAGCAAGTTTTGAAAAGTCTTTCACAAATCTGCGATAATAACTTGTAAGTCCCAGAAAGCTTCTCACTTCTGACACATTAGTTGGTCTTGGCCAACTCACAATGCCTTCAATTTTCTGAGGGTCAACAGAGATACCGTCTTTGCTAATTACATGTCCCAAAAATGCCACACTGTCAAGACAAAATTCACATTTGGAT